GTGTGCTGCTGGTTCCTACTGCCCAAGTGCAGCACCCTGCACTTGTCCGTATTAAAACGCATCCTGTTCCTGTTAGCCCACCCCTGTAACCTATCCAGATCCCTCTGCAATCTCTCCCTCCCTGCTAGCGTGCTCACCTCCCCCCAAATTTTGGTGTCATCAGCGAATTTAAACAGGTTACTTTCCACCCCATCATCCAGATCGCTGATGAAGAAATTGAACAGCGCAGGCCCCAGGACCGAGCCCTGGGGGACTCCACTACCCACCTCCCCCCAGGTCGAATATGACCCATCCACCACCACCCTCTGAGTGCGACCCCTCAGCCAATCTGCAATCCATCTGACTGTGTAGGCATCGATGCCACAGTCGCCTAGTTTTTTAACTAGGATGGGGTGAGAGACGGTGTCAAAGGCCTTGCTGAAGTCCAGAAAGACTACATCCACCGCGACACCTGCATCCATGGCCTTTGTGACCTGATCGTAGAAGGCAATCAGGTTGGTCTGACATGATCTCCCCCTAATAAATCCATGCTGATTGCCCCTGAGCATCATTTCTGATGCCGGCCCATCACAAATGTGCTCCTTGATGATCTTCTCAAAGAGTTTCCCCAGGATTGAGGTAAGACTGACGGGCCTATAGTTGCCCGGGTCCTCCCTCTTCCCCTTCTTGAAGATGGGGACCACATTTGCTACCTTCCAATCATCTGGCACCTGGCCCAAGCACCACGATCGCTCATAGAGCCGTGCCAGGGGCCCTGCAATAACCCCAGCTAGCTCCCTCAACACCCTGGGGTGGAGAGCATCCGGACCCGCTGACTTGAACGCGTCCAGCCCCTCCAGAAGCTCTCTAACCCGGTCCTCCCCAACCTGAGGTCTGAAGGCGATCCCCTCGAGTCCGGCTTCTATCACAGCAGGGAAGTCCCGGTCCCTGCACAAGAAAACGGAGGTGAAGAATTGGTTAAAGAGGTCCGCTTTCTCCTCTGATGCAACCACCAGATTGCCCAGCGTATCCTGCAGGGGTCCCACATTACCCGGCGCCTTCTTCATCCTCCCAATATATTTGAAAAAGGACTTTTTGTTATCCTTAATCTTGGACGCTAATCCGAGCTCTATGTCCGCCTTGGCCTTCCTAACAGCTCGCCTACAGGCCCGAGCAGAGGAGGTATACTCCTCTTTGGAGATTTCACCCCCCTTCCACCGGGCGTACGCCGCCTTTTTGGCAAGCAGGCAGTCCCGGACGCCCTTGGTGAGCCAGGGGGGCTTTCGGACACTCCTGCCCCCCTTGCTTCTTGTCGGGATGGACACCCCTTGGGCCCTGAGTATCGTTTCCTTAAGGAACGACCACTCGTCTTGGACACTGAGTTCCTCTGCCCTCAAGGACCCCAGTGCCTCTCCCACTAATCTCCTCATCTCAATGAAGTTGGCCCTCCTGAAGTCTAGGGCTACTGCCTTGCTGCGGGCCCTTGACACCCTACGCTGGATGGTGAATTCCAGCAAGCGATGATCACTGTTGCCCAGGTGGTCAAGAACTTGGAGGCCCCTTACCAGGTCGTCGCCTGCGGCCAGGACCAGGTCCAACAGGGCACCTCCTCTGGTGGGACAGTGCACCTCCTGAATCAAGTGGAGGTTCTGCATCTCAGCCAGAAACCTCCTGGAGCGGTCCATACAGTAGGATGCTAAACACTGGCACTGCTGCTCCAAAGTCTCTACTTCAGTCCGCCCATATCCAATGGACCCTTGTAGGCATGATCTCACTAACCAGTGTCTGGTACTGCCACTCTTCAGCTACCTGTGGTGCTTCTGGAGTGTGCCCTATATTCCTTTTTCCACCGTGCCTTGGAACTCTGTTTGGTAGTTCCTCTACTTTGGATTTTGTGCCTCCTTTAAGTCTCTTTTTAAGACACCTTTCCCTAAAGGTCAGTGGTCATAGGGCCCTGGCCATTGGCAGCTAAACAGGTGATATAATAAAGAAAAAAAAGGCATCAAAGTGACAATGGTAACAGTTATGGCAGCTTTATCACCCCAACACTCTTGGCCTTTGCATTCCAGTTCCCGTATACTTAGATGGGGATTTCCCATGAGCAAAGACCTATAGTCAGTGTCATCTATAAAGGACTGAGTACACTGTTGATACCAAATAAATAATGATAAATTTTCAATAATATATTGCCATGCTGAATTATTTAATGAGTGCAGAGGGCTATACTTCTAATCACAAGTACCATCTTTTGAGTTTGTCACAAAATTACTTTTTGTCATAGCTCAGGGAATTGATTCCATGTGACATTCCTATTTTCAATTTTGCTGCTTTGATTTCTCTGTTTTCATCATTAATTACTATTATTTTTTACAGAAAATAACCAGATTTATTCGCCAATATTTCTGTTTGTAAAAGTTGTGGTTTTTCTGTGTGAGGTCTTCTCAGTTTTGACAGTGAAGCTTTCCTGTCCTTCTCATCATTGTGTCATCTTCCATGCTGCAACATGTGCAACGTGTGGTGGTTTTTCCTACTATGTGTGCACCCTGCTCTCATTCAAACCCCATCTTGAAATACACTTCTTCCATAAAATCTTTAAAATGAATCTACCAAAGAAAGTTGTCTTGTCTGATCTGTCTGACCTACTCTTTTTTCTTCCACTTGCTACCCTTTCTTTTAGTATTTTCTTTTGCCACTTTGTTGTAGGTTTTTCTTTTTTTAATTAGATTGAAATCTCTTCTGAGCAAAGAACCCTGCTCATGTACTATTTGTAGGGACCTACCGAAATTATAAAGGCTTTTTTTTTTTGGTCTGTTTTTTTTGCACCCATCCTGGAAGCGCTGTAATACCAGGTCAATGCATGGAGTGGATGGAGCAAACTCCAGGTCCACCACCCAACACCAAAAATCTGCTCAATATAGACCCCCTATGGAGGACATATTTGAGCCAATCACCTGCCTGGGGAGCCCGCCTACGTGATCACGGTGCTTCCCCTGCCAGGAATTTATAAAGGCAGGCAGGCAGGCAATTTCACAGGCCGAACGTGGGGCTGGCCACCACTTTTCTGGGCTTATTGCAGTGGGGCCTTCACATGCCTGTGCCTGAGGGGGCCCGGTGGCCCCATCCTTGCCACTGATTGGCCAAGAGTGTTGCCTGTCATGCAGCCCAGCCCATCACCACAGATTGGCTGAGAGGGGTGGGACATTGTGATGGGCAGCCGTCTCAGTCAATCTGTGGTGAGAGGCAGTAGGGGGGAGGGGACTGCCATCTTGGCTTCTCCCCTTTGCGCTGGTAACTCCCCCCCCAGTGGGCTGCAAGGCTGGGCTGCAGCAGCCATGAGCACTGCTGACTCCTACTGGGGTTTCTCTTTTAATTTTGCAGATTTTACAGACAATACCTGATTTTATGGGTTCTGCAAAATCACGAATTGAGTAGGTCCCTAACTATTTGCAGCTACAGCACTACGTAAATAATAATACATTTCATCAGGGTTTGGCTGGAAAACTGGTGTCTATATTTTGAGGTGGTGAGAGATGTTCAAAATAAAACTTCTATGATGACATAGGACAGTGAAATGGAAACCAGCTGAGCAAGCTTCTCAGCACCAGTTCCCCTCTGAAGGGACTGATTTAGTATAGATCCAGGCATCTTCTGTAAATCATCAGTAAGATCTGGTTTTGTGATGTGAAAGCAGATTTTATTGTTGTTGAACTGAGGTTTAAATTTGCTGATTTTTTTGTCTTTGTCACTTCAGTCTGTTGCCCTTTTAATTTGATTGTATTTCAGTGTCTTTCCTGTTTGCAGTCAAGAAAATTGTGTGCACTCTGTGGACTGCAGTTTAATGACAATAAAGACCTAAAGTGTGGACCTTACTGAATGCATCAAAGTAGCTTGGAAAGGAAAGAACCCTCAAAGTTATGGCAAAATATGTCATTTATGCCATTCTGTGCAGAAGAAACTGGCTTCCATCCTAAAAATGTGAAAATGCTCAGCAGTCAAAACAGGATGTAATTGGAGAACAATTAAGCTGCTTAAATTTGGTATGGATTTTTGCAAACTGACATGTGGCTGAGATATAAGCTGGCAGGACAACAAAGTTTCACAACAGAGACATCACTGTGCACACCAGCAAAAGCCTGTTTCCTGTGGCCGCAAGCCCTATGTCCTTGGAGTCCTTCTTTAATCCAGTAGCACACAATACAGATCTCAGGGGCTGAAAAATAGCTATAACTCATTATAAAAGGTTATTTGAAAAATAACTGGTCTCTTAGACCCAGATTGTTCAAATCATGCAGTGGCACTGTAGAGTGGAAGTCCAAGCAAGAACATGAAATTTAGGATGGTTGTAGGTTGAAACTCTCAGTTTAGGATTTAGGATGTTTGTAGGTTGAAACCGCTTGCTGGCATGCTAGTAGTTCATTCTGCTAACTGAGGAGCCATTCTTTCACCTTCTACCTGTGATTAGATTTTATTTTATTGGTTTCAATTTTATTTGGCCTGCTGTAATAGTAAAACCAAAAAGAACTGAGTTGCCCAATGTAGCTACTTCATCCTTGGAACAGTTAAGTATATAGGAGAGTAAGCATCTGGGGAGCTGATATAAACCATGCTGCATAATGCAACTTTTGTTTATGGTGCACTCTGGGCAAAGAAGCCCAAACAACGTCAAATGAAGCCTTTCAACAAATGCTTTCTGATATAATTTTCAAGATTTGATTGTCTGCCAGAAATGCATGGTGGTAATATAACAATACACTTCCCAAATGAGAGTGCTTTCACATGGGAAACTCTCAAAGATGCAAGCACAGAGGCTTTTCCCAAAAGACTAGAGAATTGACTTTACTTTCTGGTTTGTCCCTTGCTGCGAAAATAAATCTAGGGAGATGCTTGTGATAATTTGGGCTATGAGGCAGTCCCTCGGTTAGCTTCCCAGAAAAAATGGGTAAAGGATAAGATCTTTTATAGTTACTAAAAGAGTATCATAAATTTATAAAGCATTTGACCAGTACATAATACATACATACCCTGCCCTGAGGACCTTGTTTTCTCTGATGTGCTGTTAAAAAATTGAAATACACGTAGATAAAGACATGATGACAAAGAGAGTTAAGCTGAAAAGTTCTGTGAAACAGTTTGAAATGCAAGGCATGTGTTAAGGGTCAATTTGAAGGAGAAGAAGATTAGGTGGCTCACTAGGAGTAAGAGGCAATTCTTTTACAGGTGAACAGAGCACTTTACAAATTATGAAGAGTGTGTGTGTGTGTGTGTGTGTGTGTATATATATGACATATATATGTATATATGTATGTATATATATAAACCCCTCATAGAACATGAAGTGCCTACCCCAAAGTTTATAATTGGAAGATACCAATATTTGTAATATAGAAACAAGGCAAAATAGTATGGCTAGCCATTATCATGACATTTTATTTATTGTCATAATTAGGTCAAAAGTGTAGGATGCCTGGAAGCATTACTTAATGGGAATTACTCTTCATTTTGAAATTAAAATCGCTTACAATTAAATTACATCTCCACAAACAGCATTCAGATTTTATGGCCATGTTTTGTTCTCAGTAGCATGGCTGAACTTCTGACAGAAGTCAGCGTGCACATATAACTGGGCGTGTCTACATGAGCCATTTACTGCACAGCAAACATCTTGGCTTCTATGTCTGAGCCCCTGTTAGGCTTAAGTAAACTAATTTACTCCACAGCAGGATAGTACTTGTATTTACTCTGCAGTATTATCCTACTGTGGAGTAAAAAACTCCACAGCAGCACACATGTAGATGCTATACCAGCTGTATGGGGCACAAGGGTGCTTCAGTGTGGGGGATGCTTGCCAGCTATCCCTGCTCCCTTGTGCCCCAGCCAGCCCTTCTGCAGCACAATCAGCCAGTCCCAGGGCTCAAGGAGAGCATTCCTGGGGCTCAATGACCCCCAGGCCCCCCTGCCAGCTGGGGCTGCTTTGACCTGGCTCCATGGGCTGTGCATGAATAAACTCCAGAGCTTATTGCTCTGGAGTTAATTGTTCCTGGGCGCACGTTCAAACAGTGCAGCCAGGTGTGTAACAGGCTGCCAGTAAACCCTGTTACTTAGAGACTGGAAACGGCCACTGCCCATGGTGGGGGAGGCAGAGGCTCAAGGGTGGCAAAAGGATGATGTTTTAAGTGTAGCTCGCTGTGGAAAATGCCACTCTGGGAAAGAATTATGAAGAGTGACATGGAGGTGGAAGATAGTAGCAATAAAAATGGACAGCCAGAAGGAGAACAGTGCCCAGGAGGGCAACGGGCAAGAGAGACAAAGAGAACAGCAATAAATCAGGTAGAAACCTGTTCAGGAGGGCGCCAAACAAATGGAGCCCCAGCACACTGGTAGGTGAGATCGGAGATTCTACTTACTGTAGTAAACGGCTGTAACAAAGATGGTTCAGGGAGTGAGTCCCAACCAACCTAGAAGAAAAAGAAGAAAGTACAGAGTAGGGTGATGATAACCTACTCTGGGAACCTGCCAATGGGGATAGTTTCTGTTGCATTGGCATTTATGTTATTCATTGTCTGAGCTGGGAAGAGCAAATAAACGAAACAGCTATTAAAATTCAGCACGCAGGGACCATCTGATTTGCATCTTGCTTGGGATTAATATTCCAATTTTTTTTCCCATCAAAGCATGGCATGCGAGTCACCGAGTGAGGCAGGGAGAGACAACATCCCTGTAACAGGGAGCAATAAACGGCAGAGGAATAAGCAATAAGCTCCACAGTTTAATCATGTGTAGTAATAGCACGTGTAGATGTGTTCACTGGGAGCATGATTTGGCTGACTGACTTTTAAAATATGCATAAATTGTATGCATAATAGATTGGCAGCAAATCTTTTAATAATGAAGCTCTTAAACTCTATATTAAAGCTTTGGCAAGCTAAACAGAGTTTTGTTCAAAAATAATGTTCATACACAATAATGGCTATAACATTTTTCCACAGAACAAGAAAGGCAGTTAGAAATTGTTGTAGATAGTTTGTTGATGAGAAAGAAGAGGGAGAAAGAGGTTGACCTCTCACTTAATTGTAAAAAGGGCACAAGTACAGCTGGTAGAACAATATTGTATTTGGACCTATTTTTCACTCATCAGTTGTTCAAAACCAGATCAGGATTTTTAGTAATTATGCTCATAATTGTTTGCCAAAGAGTTTTTACAGCTCTTCCACAAGCTGCCCAGAGTGAACACTCTTCCAGGTACTCCAGATATAGAGTTTGAATCATATAAGGAAACATGCAAGTTGCACGTTTATAGTTTCTTTTCTCTGACTGGATGAATTACATTTACAAATAGATGTTCATGAGCAGAAAACATTAGGCAGTGGCATCTTCCAAGGAAAAATTAAACTGTCTAACAAAATACATTTTGTTAGGGATGTTGTCCTGTGTTTATCTAGCTAAGCATTCTTTTGTAAGAATTCCCGTTTTCTGATAGTGCATCATTTCTATTTCTGTTGTCATCTTATCTGTCTTGCCTCTTTCAGTAAGCTGGTTAAGTTAATTAACATAAGAGGATTACTGGTAAAGGGATCTAAAGATAATTACCAGATTGGATAGAATAAAAGGATAAGGGGATGGTGGATGCTGAGCTTTGCTGCTCCCCCCTTGTTGCTCTCTTCTAGAATTCATAGGTTGCCATATTAACAAATGACTGGATGAACCCACTGGCAGCAGGATTGCTGCTGAAAACACAAGCATGCTTCGTATACCTCATGTATGGCCTTATTTTTTGCCTAACTGATTAGCCAGTGACCATTACTCCTCAAAATGAATTGCTGTCAATTTATTTGTTTGACCATCTGGTGACAGGAAAGAAGATAATGCACTTGCTCATTTTTTTTAGTTCTTCTACTTCACCTTGTGCCCTGTGGGATGACAGTATCATTTTTAGGGTAAAAGGAGATACCTATTTTTGTAATTTTTTCTGTAAGTCCAGACTTGTATCCTGTAACTCTTTAATCTTAGCATGGCACTGTTTCAAGGAAAGGGAATGTAGAGGGCCTTCAATGACTGGTTCATAGATCAAGTCACAGAGTTAGTCTTTGTCTCCTTTTCTCTTTTCAGTTCCTTTAAACATCTTTTTCCAAAAACTGTCTTCTCATACTCTTTTCACATCCAACAAGATGATTCCCTGAATATGAAGCAGTTCACTTCCTGACAACCTATCACAGATATTCTTCATCAGAACTAACATTAAAGTTGCATGTAGGTCTGGCCTTTGCGATGGCTTACAAGGTGAAGTGTTCCTTGGGTGCATGATAGGAAATAAAATCTAGAAATAGATTTTAAAAGACTGGCATAGAAATTCAAGTTTCACAATCTGCATTTGGCTGAATAAGCTGTGCCTGTTCAGAGATTATATTCTAAAGAAGAAATGTTATTCCTGTATAAAAGCTGCAAGCATTTCTCTGGTATCTCATTGTCAGGAGGTTGGAACTGAGAAAAATATACTGGATGAGTAAAACTTAAAGCATAGAATTTTAGAAAATAAGGGTTGGAAGGGACCTCAGGTGACCTATTAGATCATTCCAGCTAGAACTTTGTTGAGCTAGGCCTTAAAAACCTCAAAGGATGGAGATTCACCTCTTCTCTAGGTAACCCATTTCAGTGCTTCACCACCCTCCTAGTGAGAGTTTTTCCTAATATCCAACCTAAACTTCCCTTGCTGCAATTTGAAACCATTGCTCCTT